GTCCCTAATCTTATCATGTTCTTTTTGAAAAAGGGAATTATGTCTATAATATTTTCACTGTTTAACAATCAACATATTATAGCTTCATCTACACTAAAGTATTTCAAACTCTTTTGATCTCAATCTACAGTAGGAAATACGAGAATAATATAAGAAAAGAATTTTTATATAACAATATTTTTTTCTACATATGATGTACTTGATATGTTCCATTTTAGTCTACTGAATTTTGTAAATGCTGGTTAGGCCTAGTAAATTGATTTTAAAACCTTTCACAACCAGCAGGATGAAAAACAATGAGCTACATGCACAACAAACTGGCAATAAATTTAACAAGAGAGAAAAAGTTTGGGGGAAAAAATTTTGACGGCCACAGAAGAGTACTACAATAAGATATTAATATGAGCTAAGTTAATTCTTTTACCCTAAAATAGCCTGGGTTTACTGTGTAATTGTATTCAAGTCCTAAGAAGTATGGGACCTTTCATAAAATTTACAACATATTATTTGTTTTTATACTGCTATGCTAAGGCATGCCCTACATTTCCACATGAAATAAATATATTTCTAGAATTCTTAAAGTGTTAACCCTGACATGCTCTTTTCACTCACAAAGCAATATTTAAAAAAAAAAAAAGTTTATGTTCCTAAAAACATTAACTAATGAATATCAAGTTGTTGCAGTAACCAATACCATCTGGCAACTACCTCTGATTTCCTGAGAGAGACAGAGAGAAAGCAATAGAAGAAAGAGAAATGTTATAATAATAGCCACCACTTACTGAACTTGCGTCTACCATGTGCCAGCACTGTGCTGGATAAAATAATTATACTTATTCACTAACATTCTTCGACTAGAATAGCATATCAGGTGGCCAGTAAAAAGGAAACAAGTGCCTAACTAATATTTCTGAAGACATTTATAATGATCCTAATCGAGCACTTAAATAAAAATAAATTTAATCATCAGTATAAAATAACCATTTTGATAATTTGGTATCATTAGTGATTTCCACTCAGGAAAAGCTAACAATGAGGAACAGCAGATACGAACAAGGAAAGTATCCTAGAAAAGATTCAGATCCTTCTAATCAAGCCATCATCACCCCCACTTAATTAACCCACACATAGAAAAAAAAAACTGTGAATAGCTTTAAAATTACTCTGAAAAAAAGCTTAAATGATAGTACCTGCTGATGTGCTCTTGTAATAAGTTTATTAATCAGACTATTTTCTGTGTATATACATAAAATTTGAATAAGCTATAAAATTACTGTTATTTAATGATAATTTGTATGAAATATTACGAAGTTCAAGATTCAGAAAGCATCAAAAAACATTTATCAGTCGGGCACAGTGGCTCACGCCTGTAATCCTAGCACTCTGGGAGGCCAAGGCAGGTGGATCCCTCAAGGTCAGGAGTTCGAGACCAACCTGAGCAAGAGCGAGACCCCGTCTCTATTAAAAATAGAAAAAAATTAGCCAGACAACTAAAAATACATAGAAAAAATTAGCCGGGCATGGTGGCACATGCCTGTAGTCTCAGCTACTCAGCAGGATGAGGCAAAAGGATTGCCTGAGCCCAGGAGTTTGAGGCTGCTGTGAGCTAGGCTGCCGCCACAGCACTCTAGCCCGGGCAACAGAGCCAGACTCTGTCTCAAAAAAAAAAAAAAAAAAAAGAAAAAATTTATCCACATACAGCCTTGCACATTTCTTTTGTATTGAATTATATTATCTTTACGTTTATTTTTTTAAGTAAATTGGTAAAAAATTCCCTAAAATTCCAATTTCCCATTTCAAAGTAGGGAGTAGCCAATTCAATGAATAATGTAGTCATTTAGTCATTACTAGCAAATTAGTTTCTAATGTAAAAGTTATTTTTACTTCTATAACTCCACTGTAACTTTTTCTAGAGTTATACTAGTGACATCCGAACTATTATTTTATAAACAAACATACAAACCATAATCATTTCAACAACTTAAAAAACAAAGGAGACAAAAAACACAGTCTTTCAAATCTTATTAGCTACAACTGGAAAATAACACATATTATTAAATTTAAAAGTGATCTATGGTCTTAAGGCACTTTTATCCCCTTGCTCTAGTGCTCATTGGCCTAATCCCCTCTTCCTCTCTTCTGCTCTACTTATTTCCTCCCTGAACCCATCAGCACCAAAAGCAAGGAATGCTGTCAAAGAAAAACAACACATCTGACTTTAAATTGTCAGTTTTCTTACTGTTATGATACTGTTATGAACAAAACATTAACTGTACCAATATAAAAGTGAAACGGCCCATAACCAGGAATAAAATGAAACTGATGGAAATGAAGCAATACAGCCAGTTAGAATCTTGGCTGACTCCACTGTAAAAGTAACTATTATCAGCATAAAAATAAGGAGCATCTAGCTGAAACTTTCATTAATATAAAAAAAATTCTCAACACAAATATATAATACAGAGTATTTAACTATATTGATCTCCCATTGCAAACATTAGGTCTTTTGAAGATTTAAAGACCCAATATTTTTTGAATTACTAAAAATCAAACTAAAAGCTATATCACTTAGGGCAAATCTAAATTATCAAATTTAACCCCAACAACAGTCCCTATAAATTTCCATGAAAGACCCAAAAAATAATGTTTGAAACATTAAACTGAAGTCAATCTGGAAACATCCTTCGTCTAAAATGTTTTTTGTGTAATATTAGGTAATGAGAATAAAATAGAACATTTCCTCAAAACATAGTAATCAATTCACACGTGAAGAACAGCTGGTATATTTCAATACCTAAATAAAAAGAAGAGACTGGCATTCTTAACCTAAATTCTCAAATATCTTAAGGATAGTAAATAACACTACTCATGACATACTTCTTGACGGCTTTTCCATTCTTAACTTTCTTTTCTTACTCTTTACCAAACTTCTGTGGTTCATAACCCCCACTTTCAAGAACTCATATTCGGACTTAAAAATGCCTAACACTTAACAGACACTGTCTAGCCCTAAAGTATACAAAATAATTCCTTAAAATTCTATTATTTTGTTTTCTATTACTGAAAAACAATAGTTTACTTAAGAAATTGTATATTTTTGTTATGCCATATATCAGACTTCTAAAAAGACAAAATGTGAAGGGTACTGCTAAAATCTAATTTACCTTAAATTATGAAAAGGCCCTGATTTCAAATTATTTAAAATATATTAATAAAAATAATATATATTCAGCCAAACACTTACTTGATTTTTGGCTTATTTGGCTTATAAAAAATATATAAACAAGGTGTTTCTGTACATACAGAAGAAAACATATTTAATGGAAAATATAAATTATTCTGATAATACAGCAAAATATCTCACAGCATAAAACTATTATGTAAACTTTAATAACCAAAAGGCAATGGAGTATATCATCTTCTTTTATCATAAATCACTTATAAAATTATATTTACTACTGGTACAAACAGTTCTCCCTTAATTTTACAGATAACAAAGGATATTAAATGACAATCATAATCACAGACTAGAGTGTCACTATAGAACCATAATTTAAGAATTCAAATTCCAATTCTGTAAGTATCAAATCTTTTAATTCTTAAAAAAAAGCTACAAAATTTCTAAAGTTATGAAACATGAGATGTAAAACTACATATGCTTTATAAAATATTTTACTCCACACATGAAAGATGTGTACTTAAAAAACCAGTACCAAAGTCAAAATTGTCTCACTCTTAAGAGAGAAATCAATTAAAAGACGGTTTAGATTTCTTACATTCCCATTATGAGTCTGGCAGCTTGTTTTTTAAAATCATCCTATTCACATTTACATATTTTTTTAAAACCTCATGACATCATGTTGCTAGAAATCTTCTGATATTGGCAAATTGAATAATTAAAGTTAGTATGTACAGGCATTCTTGAAGCAGTGGTTTACCTGAGAAACTAATTTTTAACAAATTTCAAATCCAAAACAATGAAATAATCAGCACTTGACTTTTACTTCAAGAAAATAAAGCTTTACTTGAGAACAAAGATATTTCGGTATACACATTTTCCAAAAAACTAAAATTATTTGTATTCCAAAGGTACAAAATACTATTTGGCCAAAATCCTTCAAAAGCCAATGTACCACTATAGCTCTGGGTGATGTGTATTTCTCCCAACAGCGAACTTCTGGACATTAGAGTGCGTCCTGTATATAACATCAGAAGCTGAAGAACTTAAGCCAAGTCTTCAAGCTTGAAGGTCACATGGAGCATTTGCTCACATCAGTGATCTATTTCACTAAAGTAAGTCTTCTAAATTTCATCTATAAGAATGGAGCCAAAAATCCAACCAGTTTAGATTTAAATTAAATTTAGAGGAAAATCTAACTCTGAGTTGGGAGCTGCCATCAACTACTATCACAAAATTTTTAAACTATGTCATTTTCTCTTACAAACATAACAATTTTTGGAAAGCCAATGATGAGTAGTTCCCTTTGCTTATTCTATACAGAGATGAACTAAAACCCACTGATCATCACCTTCAGGCTCCTGTTGATCTAAGATAAACACAGATATTTTAATATCTCCTCCCATTTTGGGAATGAGTTCCATAATCTGGAAAGGAATGTTTCCACCAATAAACACCTTTCAATTTAACAGCTATTATACTTCCATGCATTAGGCAACTGTGAGCAATAACCCATATTTGCCCATCGCAGAACGTATTTAAAATCTCTTACTGTTGACCTAAAAACATATGTCCTTCATCATAAATTCCACATTAGCTAGGCCTTAAGTCAAGGCAACAATTAAGTAGCATGGTTTCACTCCTGGGAAAATATTTACTAAAAACTAGGAAAAACACCTTGAATAATTGGCGTCTATTCTTGTACTGTGAATATGTATTTTTTCTTTCATTACAGAGTAAAGTTTACTCATGATAACTCTCTATAACAACTAAATCATAATGTCCATCTAAAGATTGAGTTTTTTAAAAAATACAAACTTACCCCATTCTAGGTATTCAAGAATGTTCTTCTCTCTTCTCAATGGAGAATTATTGCATTCATCATAAAGGCAGATAAGTATATCCAGTAACGTCTCCACACTGAAGCACTGCCCATTGGTCTGAGCGGGCCCATCCAAAATAAACTGCTCCAACTGCCTCAAACGCACTTCTCCAGACATGTTTGCTTCAATTTCTGCTGGCTTTCCTTTAAATTATTATTACGATTTTTACTTTTATTGTTTGAATCTAAATTTTAAAAGGTGTGGTTTTAAAAATAAACCACTTGTTATTCAAACAACTGTCATGAAATGCCGGTGCTGAATTAAACATCCAACACACCAGTAACCTCACTTAACTGAAGCGTCTTCAACTTCACCCATATACACATATTTTGAGGGTAAATTACCATAAAATATATATTTAATACATTTAAAAAAAATACAATTAAATCGTATATTTAAATAAAATAATAATTAGAAGTACAATGAACTAAAGAATCAACACTTCTTTAAAAAAAAAAACAAAACTCTTCTTCTTCATTCAAAATTCCACTCGTGCAACATAATCCTGAAACGAATCCGGTTGCATCATTAATGAATAAAGTCCGATTTGCATCAGCAATTCACTTCCCGGGAAGAAGAAAAATAGAAAAGGGAGGAAAAAAACAGAATGTATAGAAGGGGGAGGGAAAACCAAAAATTTTGCTGCAAATCCTCCCAACCACCACTTGGATAATATATCAGCGGCAATTTCTCCACCGGGAAAGGGACGGGGCGAGGTCGCTGAAGCAGCCCCTCGGCTCGGAGCACGCCAAGTCTTGCCCGGAGGAGGCTTTTCCTTTCTCCTCCCGAGGTCCTTCTTTTTAAGGCTCTTCAGTTAGTCCTATTTTCAACGCATTCCGGAGAAAACTCATCATTTTTCTCCCGGCTTCTCCCAGGGGCCTGTCCCGCGGCGCGGCCGGGGGTGGGAAGGCGAGCTGCGGGCGGCACTCGCACCCGGGCTCCGCGGCAGCGGCTACTTGGCCGCCCGAGCCCGCTCCATGTCGGTGGTCGCTCGAGGGCCGGGCCCGGCCGCGCCGCGCCGCGCCGGGCGGAAAGCCCGGTCTCCCCCACACCCGCACCGCGACCGCCGCGCCGGAGGCTCCCGATGCCCCAGGAAGGGGGGGGGGTGCTCTTCCGAATTCAAAGGACACGGGCGGCTCCAGCAACTACTTCTCCCCCTTCTTCACACCCCTGGGTTAAGGGCATCTTTCCTCAGCGAGGAGGGAGGCGACCGAGGCGCAGGAGGAGGGCTCGGCGCCTATGGTGAGGAGACCAGAGGCTGCCGCAGCCCGGCTCCCAACCACTCCCTTCCTCTCCCTCCCTGCCCTCCCCCGCCTTCCCTCTCCTCTCGCGCTGGCGCCCTGGGCTCCGCGAGGCTCCTCCAGTCCCCGCCGCACGCAGGCGGAGGCTTGCCGAAGCGTCCAGATCCAATATGGCGGCCCCCGCCCCCTCCCACTTGCGCGCACACGCCCTCTACCCTCCGCGCCCCCCCGCCGGAGCCAGGCGGCCGAGCCGGGCGGCGACCTGCGGCCGCTCCCAGCCTAGGCCCTCTAGGGACGCGGGCGTGGGGTGCGGGCTGCTGCACCAGCTTGAGGGGACGGGTGGGGGCCGCCTCGGCCTGCGGTGCTGCGACTGCGGCAACGTGGAATGCAGGGATACGGGAGGACCAGGGAGGCCGAGGCGGCGGTGGCGGAGGATATGGAGGCGGGATGACCGGGCCGAGCCGGGGAGCCGCTGCAGGACTGGGGCGCGGGCTGGGAACTGCGCCACCGCCTCGGCACCGTCCCGGGTTTCCCGAGGTTCGTACAGATCGCAAAGTGGGGCTTCTTCCTCGTCCTCGGAGACACCACCCGTCTGGCACGTTTGTTACGGGGGCCCGGAAGTAGACGGCTTTAGGCTTCCAACAGATCTGGAAAAGATAGTGTCTTTCCGCCCTTTACCTGCTCACCACGCGCCCCCCCCAATTCGGTTCTCTCACACTCCAGAGTAGTAATTTCTTGTATGTCTAATTACAGCACTGCTTGTGTTATTTCCCAGGACAAAAGCAATGACAGACTTGTATGCGCTATCACCTAAGTCGTGTGTGCGCGCAAAGGATAGAATTCCCATCTCTATTCCCAAAAGTTTTGCTATGTGGAGCCTTGTGTTTTCTCCTCCGGAACTATTCTAGCTACTGCCTGTTTTTCCCAAGCCATGGTTACCACCTACAGGGGATTCAGCCTATGAAGGGAGTCAAGACAGGTCACCATTGTCATCAAACCTGCACTCCCCCCTTTGCACACACACAGACTTGTAACCCAGTGACACAATGCAGGAATCTGGGCAGCAAAGGCAAGTTACTGAATAGCTAAGCACCTGATGCCTGTAGGACCCTTCCAGATTTTTGTGAGTCTCGGTTTTAAGAGAGCTCTGTTTACAAAATTCTTATGGAAGATCTTACATTTAAATTAATACCACAAAACTGGGTCATTGCATTTCTGTATTTCCTTTCAAAACTGCCGTCTCCTTTAATCTTTCTCCAAAATACAACGATTTTATATTCTTTGGCCTCACCTGTGGGGCAGTTGTTTTCTATGTTAATGCTCACGATTGCATCTTTTTACATCTCAATAATATGGAAGCTGAGGAAGAACTAGAAATGAAGGTCTAGACATAAAGTCTAAAAATGAAGGCTAACAGAAGTTGACTCTAGTTGTTGCGGTTCACAAAATGTTGTGAATCTTTTGTGAAATCTACACTTGCCAAGTCTACACTTGCCTGTAACACAGTAAGAACAGCAATTTTTTCAACGTGCTCTTGACAAGAGTGATAAATAGGTTCAGCCAAAGGGTCAGTCATTTCCAGCCATGACATCTTTATGTGTGTGTGTGTGCGCGCGCGTGCGTGCGTTGTCTAATTATAAAAGTAACAGAAAAGCAAAAAGAAAAATTTAATCCTAACACAGATAATAGTCAATATTTTGGTGTTTATTATTCAAGTCTTTTTCCTGTGCATTTCAACAAAAATGATACATAGTGAAACACAGTTTTATAGTGCCCTGTTTGTAATTAGCAATATATTATGAACCATGTTTTCAGGTTAACAAATGTTCTTCAACCATATGGTTTTTAACAGTGAAGCCAGCACTGTTTGGCTTAACAATTTCATTGACCATGAGATGAAGTAGCAAGAAGGAAGCAATTCCTTCTGCTTTTTCAACTGTGGTACACCAAAGAACTGGCTCCAAATACCTGCTTACCCAACTTACTCGTATAAGTAACTATAAAGAAGTTTAAAAGAGAGAAACTAAAACATGTTAGGTTTCAATAAATGCTAATTAACAATGGAAGTACATGAGAAGTAGATATGTTTTTAACAAAAGAGTCAAGCTGCCAGCTCTCTACCTATTCTGTTAGCACTTGGGTACCACCCACAGTCCAGGGTATTGGTGGTTGCTAAATAACCCTTTCACATTATTTAGAGAGTAGAGGGGAAAATTTATTTTTATTTAAAAAAAAAAAAGGCACAAAGAGAAGGAAGAAGGTTGAACCCAATCAATTTTGCTTGAATAATTCAAGCTCAGAGACTTAATAATTAACTAGACACTAAACACATTGTGCGGGTGTTATTTTAAATATTCCGGTTGAAGTGTGAACATGCTTGTTAATGAAACCAGTCTTAATCCAAAGAAAGGCACAGCCCAGCAGCTGTACAGTGCTTGAAGTGTTCCTGCAAAACAAGAGTGCCACAGGCTGCCTGGCAGGGCATTCTTTGGGGAAAGAGCCTAGAGGAGGTCTTCTTTGTGAAATTCTGCTTGGGGGCCTGGAGATTAGATGTATACCACTGCAAACACCCAATTTGTTTGAAATAATTAGAGAAATTTTTATGAAGATGCTGGGAATTAATCTGACATTTCAGAAAAGAAAGAGGACAGGAGAAGATGAGTTGGGAAGGTTTCTGGAAAGAATAAGGCAGGACAGAAGTCAGTAAGCCTTGTCCCCAATACCAGCTCTCTTCAATTCATCTTCCAATTCAGACCTAAGAACAGGAGAATTGATCCACCAATTAATATTTATAATAATCAACCCCACTCTTAGCTTGGTATATCTTACTGCAGAATAACTATAGGTTCAGTGTTGGAGATCGGGACCCAAAACAAGGTGAGTGCAACAACAGGGCTGAATATATAGTAACATTGAGGATATTTTACCATATCCCATTTTAGACGAGCTAGCACATCCTGGCCCTGCAAATGAATGACTTGCCTTAGTAACCTCAGAGGTAAAAACGCCAGCAAATGCCAGTCTTCACTTTATGTCAGGCTCCTGACATATGTAATACTGACTGCAAAAGGCTTATGTTATGAAAAAGAAAGACTTTCTAATTAATAATTGCTTCCTTTACATAACACTTATATCCTGTAAACACTGTCTTGGGTAATTTGAGCACATACTTTATTCAATCGTCGTAACCATATGAAGTAGGAAAATTATCATTTCCACATCATAGGTGATGAAGGAAGCTCAGGCTTCTAAACTTAGATAATTTGTGAAAGATCATATAGCTAGTAAGTGACACAGGAGCTAGGAGTCAACACCAGGCCTATCTCATGCCAATGCTCGTGGCTTTAGCCACTAAGCAAGCGAAGTCTGAAAGATCTGCAGATTCTGTAAACCTAACTCTTTCTTGCTGTTGTAACAACGGTGAAGTGGAATATAGTTGTTAATTAGAAACTGGCATCAGGACAAAAGATGGAAAAACACACATAATATGTCAGGGTTCCATCAGAAAAGCAGCAATCACCTATATATTTAAACCAGAGAAACTTTCATCCTGGCACTTGGTTTCATGGGTGATAGAAGAGCTGAGGACACACACAGTGAAGTTAGGTTACCCCGTTGGGCAGCAGCAAAAAGCTGCTCCCACCCTTAGGCTGGTGGAAGCTAAAACCCAGGCTGGTGGGAGCTGGAGCCACAGAATAGATGCAGGGGCTCCTGGGGAGGCTGCCCTAGGTGGAGAGAGGGGAGGAGAATCCTCTTGACCCAACTCTCCTGCCATTTGCAGCTAACATAGACCCTTTGAAAAGGAGTCTGCATGAGTTGTGCCCAAAGATACAGAGCAGAGCAGGCAATGAGTAAGGAATGCATGTCAGGGCAAACAGGAAAGGATTTATATACATAGAATCAACACAGTTTCAGTTTTAACCAAACTAGTAAAAAAAAAAAAAAAATCAATAAAACAGATGTTTTGTCTCAGAACAACAATTAAGTGGATTTTGAAATGGCACAGTTTTAACATAGGC